CTCCCTGAAGAAAGTTCGCGGTGAAAATCCCGGTGCCCGCTGGTAGGGAGCTGCCGGGGTCGGCCTGGCGTCCTCGGCGGCTCTGGGCGCGGCGGGTTCATCCCCGCAGGGCCCAGCGATGCTCTTTTATCACAACATCTCTGCTTGCGGCTTCCACGCAGCCTGGGAGGTTTGTGGAAGTTGGAAATCTGCTTGAGCCAGGCTTTGAGGCAGGTACTCCAGCTGCTATACCGTGTTTTCTCCTCCCAAAGGTGGGGAAACTGAGGCACGGAGAAGCAGAACAGCCCCACCCCACCCCAGGAGTGCCTGGTGCCCAAGGCAGGAGCAGATCCCAGATCCCCGTCCGGCTGTGTCAGGGGGAGAAGGGGAACAGTTACACAACTGAAGCGTCCCCCCTTTCCATATGCCCCGGAGACCTGTTGTTGTACACGACAGCAGGAGTGCTATCGATAAAAGCTTTTGTGTAAGGCTAGGTGGGGGAGCTCCAGAAACTGTGGGTTTTTCACCTGAATTTCAGTGTTTTGAGGCAAAGTCCCTGTTTGAGTGACCCAGGTCATTCACGGAGATGATCTTGTGGCGGGTGGGCTCAGCTCAGGCGTTCCCGTGGTGCGGCAGTGCCAGGCACAAAGCTACGGAGCTGGAGAAACGACTTTTAGGGCCACAATTTGTAGGCGGCGCGTGGAGAGCAGGGCTCTGGGGTGACAGGACTGTTTTGCAGCTGTTTGTGCTTTAATTCTTCCGTAATAAGCTAAAGCGCTTCTGTTGGCAGCCTGCTTCGTGCGGCGCGTTCCTCCGACCGCGCATTAATCTTGCATGGCTTTGAACGGCGTCTTCACAGCCAACCTGTGTGCTCCCTGCCCCATCTTTAAATCTGTGCCCCAGGCAAGGGCACATCTTCCAGGCTGGAAATGAGTCCCCAATAATCTTGAGACCAGAGAAAAGGTTTGTAGGAATTCCTTTAGGTGGGTTTTTTTTTTTTGGTTCGTAACGATAGGACAACAATGGCGTAAGCTTTCCGAAGTTAGCCTGCAATTTTGTGCCCTGAAGACTGCAAAACCCCCGTATTTTGGCTGCAGCGTTGGGATGGGCAGAACCCAGGTGTCAGGAATTCTCTGGTCTGTTAAATGACTTCATCTTTAATTCAGCCCACTCTGCTGGCTAATTCACATCGCTTTCTGTTTGTTCTCTAATATAACGTCCGCGATGTCTTTTAGACACTATTCTTATTGAGTGAAAGTAAGTGCTTTCTGCATAGAAATAATTCCTGTAGGATGTAGTTTGCCAAGGAGATGTTCTGTGACAAGAGCTGTATTTTGTTAATGTGATCCTGATAGGACAGAGAAGCTTAGAAATTGTCTGCCTGTGAGCTGAACTTCTTTAAACAACAGTTTCATCAGGCAGCGGGCTGTGCTGGCAGCTTCTAGAGCCCCGGAGCTCTTGTTCCTTCTGGGAAGGGTTTAGGACCCCCATAGTGGTGGTAGAAACACTCGCCTTGGGAAGAGTCGCAGAGTGATTTACGGTGTAGCTGTAATAGTTCCTTTCGAGATTTTAAAATTAAGCAAGTGCTAATTGCGTGCTGCGTTTGGCGGGGGGGGAATGAAGAGCAGATCACATTTGGCGATGCTAAAGGGCAGTCTTTGGAGGATTTCTCAGGGGTTACGATATAAACACCTTGGCCCGTGTTTTTGGACATCGTGCAGGGTGTCAGAGCTGCAGTGACACGAGGTGGTGACGTAAAGGGTGGCTTGACCCCATGTTCTCTGCTTCCCCTTGAAACCCAGGATCTCGGGCTCGGTCCTGACGTGTTAACAGCTCCGCAAAGGCCTCTGGCTGTGCTCTGGTCTCCTCGAGCAGAGCAAACCTCGCTGTGTCCTGACGTCCTCGCTGGTGTCTGCTGGTCTGCTCTGTAGTGGATCAGTGGAGAGAGAAACGCTGGATAAACAGACTTGTACCAGAGCTAGGTTTGGCCCTGGAATTTATGCATACGCTGTACTCGGGATCAAATACAGAGAGGGGTAAAAGGTGAGCGGAGCGAGGCTTTCTTAATACAAAACCACAGCTGCGTAGCTCGATCTCCCAAAAACTGTCTGCCTGCTTTAGACGAGGAGATCTGGTGAGCTCTCTCCGTCAGAAGCTGATTGAAGCTCAGCTCCCATTCCTGTGTGTGCAGCGATGGTCTGGCTCTCCATCCGTCTGAGACGGAGCACGTTCCCGTGCTGTGCTTCCATCTTGACTGTCCTGCAGCAAGGAACTGTCTGTCTAGGACAGCGTTGTTATTCATAAGATGCAGAATGTGTTGTTGTGAGAGAAGTTGTCAAAGCTTGTTCTTCGGGGCATAAGACGATTGCAGAGATCGGGAAGGCTCTTCCACTGCTGGCCTGGCCTGCTCCCAGGCACATCGCGCTCGCCAGGGCGAGCATGACAAACTTACTGAACCAGAAATCAACTTTCTGTCTGTCAGGGTGCTCGGAGGTGCCCAGCTGTGAACACGGGCAGTCAGGCAGCCGTTCAGACGGAGCGGTGAATAAATACGTAGTCTGAACTTGTTTGTGCGATCCTGTAAGAGCGTTCACACGGTACTTACTGCATTCATCTCACAGGTCGTGAGAGCTCAGTTGCCTTCTCTTCGTGCATGTCTGGCCGTGCAGGAGTGCCCCAGCCATTTCCAGTGCTCCTCTCTAGGTGCAGAGAGGCACTGCCTCTGGGGTGGGAGCAATTTCTGTCTTCTGCCTTGCATTTTCAGGCGTTGCTCGGAGCCATAATGTACTAAAAGTGGAATCATGGCACCAAATGAAAACTGCCACGACTCTGGGTAAAGAAGACGAAAGTAATGAGCTGCATGCTGTCCTAGCTGAAAACTGACTGGTGGCCTGTGACCAGTGCAATGGGGTTTGTAGATATTTTAGTGTAAATGAGATAAAAAGTGGAATTCTGACTTAAATGGCAAGATTACCTAAGCACTCCAAATCAATTCACTTAATGACCAGCTTCATAACCTTTATGTGAGCAGTGGAGTTTTATGCCTTGTCTGCTTCGTGCTCTCTGTTTCATCCAAATCAAAATTAAATGACTCCATTACAATTACAGCTCTATCATTCCAGCATTCAAGAGTGCACTTTAGCAAAAGATCACTGTAATTTGAATTATAGTGTAAGTGAAGAAGTTTGTATTGCCTGTCATATTTTTAGAGCTCACTTGGCTTTCATCAGCCTTTCTCTATAGTACGCGGTTGATATTGTAGCAGTCGTGCTGAAAGTTTGTATTGATAAACTGTAATATTTTGTCCAGAGCAGTTAAATTTGAGGTGCTTGTGGTTTTAGACCATCAAAATATTACACAGGGAGGTATTTCTCCTCTACTCTGGGGTTTGCATTAAACTTGCGCTCCCTTTCTCCCCCACCCTTTACTTTTGTTGCTTTGCAGTAGGGTTTTATGCCCTTTAAATAATTTAGGGAGAAAGGGGAGAAGAGAAAGTGTAAAGTATCATGATTCTGATGGATCATTCCTGATTGAGGATTTGGCTTAATGAGCTACACCAGCCTCAAAAGAGCTGCACCGATTCCACCATTTGCCCTGCTGTGTCTTTCTGTTCATGCTGACAGCTGGGCAAATCCGCATGAGCTTGATCAAAATCACCGAAACTAGGCTAATTTGTATGCATCGGGCTTAGGGAGTGTGATTCTTTCATTTTGGTGTAGATGAGTGGTAGCTTTGCCAAAGTCAGCAGACTCGCAGTGGGTTTATTCTGAAGGAACTGGGGTGGTTCAAGTCCCCCTGTCTTGGTGGCTTCAGGGTGGCTTCGGAGAGAAGCTGCGGGTTTTGCTGCAGGCCCGGTGGGGCTGGGGGAAAGCTTGTGATGAGGCAGATCTGTTACGGATCTTTCACTCCTTCCCAACCAGCCTTTCCATCTCCTGCTCTGACAGCATCAAGTGGGCATTTAAAAATAATTAAAAGGAGATTAAAATTCTTTTTATGTTCTATTCTACTCATTTGGACTTTCATGATGGCAAACAAGGTGATCTCTTGAGAGACCGTAATATTTCATACGAGGTAGAAAGGGCTCCAGCTGCTTGTGCTCTGGGTGCTTGTGATATTGCTAAAAGACCGCTGAGAAATGGCAGGAGAGACGTGCAGCCCTGAGCCTTGGCAGCATGTTTAGAGCAATTTTACCTTCCAGGCAGCTTACAAGAAAGCAAATCTCATTTCATTGTTTCTTGTGATGCCCAATTAATTGATTATCACTATCTGAGGCTGCTTGTTTGCTGTAGTCAGTAATCACCACTGTACTGTGCAGGCATTGTAACAGCTAGTAGGGATGAATGCAGGTTGGTTTTTAACCCTTCCTCGTACTTGGAGTTGTGGACCATCACACGCAGTTGTGGTTTGGATGAACGAGGAGTGAAAGCAGTACATCGATCCTCTGATTCTGTAAAGATATCAGGCTTGTTCCTTTCAATGCTTACTTGCTTATCTCTGTGTCTCTGTATTTTTTGAAATCACTGACTGATCCAGAGGCTAGAAACCTCTCACCTTCCCAATGGATCTCGGGTAGCTGGAGCATGGAA